GCTCCTTCCCAATGGGATCTCCTATTGTTGTTTTTGTTTTTAAAATGGGGGGGGAGAGAAATAAGCCCTGTATATAATAATAACAATGTCACATAGGTGCTGGGATCATGCAAAGGAAGTACAAGCTTTCTTCTTCAAGTTGTAACTTATTTGGTAAGAAGAGTCGTACAAGCTGCAGTCCTGATTGCTTTCTCATTGTGTTGCCTGGCAACCGGAAGAAAGCAGGGGCATCGACAGAGACCCCCAGAAAAGGCAGGATAGCCATGGCAACCATGTGATGGAAGCCCAGCCCATTTTTAAGTGCATAAAATATAATCATGGGTATATATTCGGTTCTTAAATCTGCTTGATCTACTACCATACTAGGAAAAGATGGTGTTTAAAATTGGTTGCTGCTGCTTTACATTTGTTCATAATCGTTGCTTTGTACCAAGTTGTCAAGGTCACAATTCTAATTACTAATTCTTCAGATCGTCTGCCAAGAAACGTTGTTCCCCTCCCCTCTCCTTCCCAAAATGCATTGCTCAGTGCTCTTACTAGTGTACAAAGTCCATTGCATTCCATTTTAGTCTTCATTAAAAAGCAATGGTTGAGTGCCAGGAAATGCCTGGAGGTGTTGCTATCATACTAGAATGCTACAATATATGTTCATTAATCTTACATGTTATCCTGATCAGACCAATGTTGTCCAGAAAACATGCTGTATTTGCCTCTTGTCCCTGTCTTTCCATGTCCTGGTGCAAGTCTAAAAATGTGTTGCCTAGATCTGGAGTGGTTTCTTCATGGCTATTGGCCATTAGCTAAAATGTGGGTACCATGAAACCATTATGAATCTGTGCAGCTGTTAAGATTGCTAAGCAAAGACCTTATATCAATCCCCAGCTACAGAATTCCTATTTTTGGAGGGGTGGTGGTACAGGTAATCCTTGAGTTTATGTCCACAATTCAGCCCAAAATTTATGTTGTTAAGTGAAACATTTGTTAAGTGAGTTTACGAGAATCTTTGCATTTGTTAAGTTGGTAACTGGTTTTCCCATTTGCTTGTCAAAAAATAGCAAAAATAGCAAAAAAAATAGCAAAAACTGATAACATGACTCTATGACACCACAACCATCATAAATATGAATCAGTTGCCAAGCATTTGAATTTTGATCCTGTGACCATGGGGATGCTGCAACAGTTGTGAAAAAAATGGTCATAAGTCTTTTTTCAGTGTCATTGTAACTTTGAATAAATAGAATAAAATAGAATAACAAAGTTGGAAGGGAATTTGGAGGTCCTCTAGTCCAACCCCATGCCTAGGCAGGAAACCCTATAGCATTTCAGACAAATGGTTATCCAACATCTTCTTAAAGACTTCCAGTGTTGGGGCATTCACAACTTCTGGAGGCAAGCTGTTCCACTGATTAATTGTTCTAACTGTCAGGAAATTTCTCCTCAGTTCTATGTTGCTTCTCTCCTTGATTAGTTTCCACCCAGTGCTTCTTGTTCTACCCTCTACCTTGGAGAATGGTCACTCAATGAACTGTTGTAAGTTGAGGTCTACCTGTGCTAGATAATCTTCTCTTATGTTGCCTCTTTAACATGGCACACTTGTCCCCCAACTCTCTCAGTGTTCAGAAAATCTGTAGAGGCAGACTTCTCTCACTAGAGCTTCAAATGGTTAATTGGTTTCAGTGTCAATTTTAGAATAATTTAAATCTTTCCTTTAAAAAAACCCCTTTAAAAATATAACTGCACTGAGTACTTACCAGAAAATAAGTGGTTAAAATGAAGTGAAACAAAGCCTTAACTTTCCTCTGAAAGACTCCTTTCTATGACATCATTCAAATGTCTGGAATTTTCATAATGCTTCTTCACCTATGGAGGTGAAATATTTTCATTGTCCCTTTCCTCTTAGAATCACAGGGCTGGAAGGTCTTGTAATCCAACACCCTGCCCAAGGCAGGAGTCCTTAAACCTGTCTGGGCAAGTAAATGTTGTCTTTTCTGGAAAATGAGAATTAAAATCTTTTAGAGAAGGAGGTGGACTCAACTAAGTCCTACAAGCCAGTGGTGAAATTCATTTTTTTTCCTTACCGGTTCTGTGGGTGTGGCTCGGTGGGCGTGGCAGGGAAAGGATACTGTAAAACAGTGTTTCTCAACCTTGGCAACTTGAAGATGTCTGGACTTCAACTCCCAGAATTCCCCAGCCAGCATTTGCTGGCTGGGGAATTCTGGGAGTTGAAGTCCAGACATCTTCAAGTTACCAAGGTTGAGAAACACTGCTGTAAAATCTCCACTCCCTCTTGATTAACTGGGACTCGGGAGGCAGAGAAAAGATGGGGGCGGGCCAGTCAGAGGTGGTATATTTACTGGTTCTCCAAACTACTCAAACTTTCCGCTACCAGTTCTCCAGAACTGGTCAGAACCTATTGAATACTACCTCTGCTACAAGCTCTTACATTTCCCCATCCTTGGAGCAAGGCCGACGATAGCCAAGCAACTGCGTATGCTCTGCCTGGGAAACCATAGCATGGTTCCACCCCACCCCTTCTTCCAGCTTTTGTATTAGCCAGACTTCTTCACTGTGTGAACAGTTTTCATCAGCAGTCCAACAAAGGGCTTAAGGGCGGGAAGAATTATCCCTTTCCTGTGAAAGTACCTCCAATATCATTTGCACCATCTGTAGAATCCAATCATGCTGATTGCCTTAGTTGGCATTTTCTACCCTCTAAAATATAGGAAAATACCATTATTGTTGTATCCCATTCAACAGTATCTGGAAGGCAACACTCTCTAATTTTCTAGACCTGTGATGGAGATGGCACGCAGAGCCCTCTCTGTGGGCACGGGCACCGTTGCCAGCTGCTCTTCGGGGTTCCGTCGTACAAATGCGCACTGGCCAGCTGCTCTCTTCTGGGTTCTGGTGTTCCGGTATGCGCATAGGCGCTCCAGTTTCAGCATTCGGTGCTGAAAAGATTAACCATCACTGTTCTAGACCATTTCATGGAAATAAATACTGTATGTACCATATTTTTCGGACTATAAGATGCACCGGAGTATAATACCCACCATGATTTTGAAGAGGTACATTTTTAAAAGAAGTTTTTGCACTCTCCCAAAACCCTCTGCAGCCTTGTTTTTTGCACAAAAGGGGGGGGCATGGAGAGCTTTGGGAGGCTTGTAGAGTGCTTCTGGGGGCTGGGTGGGCCAAAAACAAGCAAAAATGGCCCTCCCCGGTCTTTAGGAGCACTTTGAAAGCCTCCCAAACCCTCTGCATGTCCATTTTTGCAAAGGGGCGGGGTGTCAGTAGGCCAAAATGCTGTATTCAGTGTTTAAGAAGCATCCAGATTTTCACCCTCTTTTTTGAGGGAAAAAGGTGCATCTTATACTCCGAAAAATACGGGTACTTAGAAGTGGATGAGAATACTGGAGAAAAAGAACTCCTCATTTCTAGCTGAAATGAATGAATTAAAACTACCCCTGTTTTCTTCTTAAAGGCAAAGCATTTGAATGAAACTTTAATGTATAAATTAGAAAAATGTAAATGTAAAAAGCACTGAACTACTACTCTAGATTTTTAAGAAAAGATGGCATTGAAAGAGATAGACACTGTAAACCCGCCATCTAATTGGGATCTGAATTTTTACAGTTCTAACCTGTTAGCCCTAGACAAGAAACCCTTATCTTATACTCCTTTTATAAATGCACATGAATGATGGGAGAAGTGTGGCAAGAATAGCGAAGAGCTGATCTTTCTTATCAGAAAATGTATTAAGTAGCCTTCCAAGGGCAACTTCAAGCTGAATAGGGTTGTTCTCACATTAACTTGGAGGAAAGTCAGATCATGGGCCATGATTGGGGGAAAAAGACATAGAAGAGAAAGAAAAGGGATGAAAAATGGGAGCAACAAATTTCATGCTGACATATCTGCCAGCTCAATATTGAATGGAAAGCAACCTAACTCTGTAATGGAAAAAAAAAAACTTATTACAGGTAGTTCTCGACTTAGGACCACAACTGAGCCCATTTATGTTGCTAAGTGAGACATTTGTCAAGTGAGTTTTGCCCCATTTTATGACCCTTCTTGCCACAGTTGGGATACAGCAACGATCGGAAGTATGAACCAGTTCAGAAGGGTCTGAATTTTGATCACGTGACCTTGGGGAGCCGAGGTGGTGCAGTGGTTAGGGTGCAGTACTGCAGGCCACTTCAGCTGACTGTTATCTGCAGTTCAGCGGTTCAAATCTCACCGGTTCAAGGTTGACTCAGCCTTCCATCCTTCCGAGGTGGGTGAAATTTATTTATGATTTATGACCGTTTTTTAACACGATAGTTTCAACTTCTCCGTGGTCACGTGATTAAAATTCAGTTGCTTGGCAACCGGTTCATATTCATGACATTCGCGGTGTCCTGGGCTCATGTACTTCCCCTTTCATGATCCTCTGATGGGCAGAGTCAATGGGGAAGCCAGATTCACTTAACAACCTTATTACTTTACAAGAAAGGTTGTAAAATGAGGCAAAACTCACTTACCAAGTGTCTCACTTAGCAACATAAATTTTGGGCTCAATTGTGGTCATAAGTGGAGAACTACTACTTTGCTGCTGCCTAGTTTTATGGTATCTTATTTATTTTCCTTTTTAGTGTGTTTATTGTAAACCACCCAGATAGCTTCAGCTATTATGAGGTTTTAAAAAAATTTAGAAAAGAAAGGAGAAGGGAGGGGAAAGGAGGGAAGGGAAGATTTAATTCATTGAATTTTGGGACATGTGGCCTTTGCCCAGCCTTGCTGTTCACCACTTTTCACCAACATCTGGATGAAGGAAGGCTGCTCTAGATATTAGATATTACCTCTCAATGGGCAGTAAAGAATGAGCAATGCAATATCCTCCTCCTCTTGTTTATGACCTTAACTAGGTGAAGCGGTGTAAGATTAACAAAGGAAAGGGTGTGAACATATAAGTAAATATTGAAAAACTTCATTTGGGAACTTCTTGCTCTCTTTCTGATGCAAACGGCGGTTGCTTCAATCAGGGTATTGCTCAGAAAGAAAGATTTCAGATGTTTAGGCACATCTGTCACAAGGAAATAAGCACAGGAGTGGGGAGCCTGGTGATGACGATGGCAATGATGATTGAAAGCACGGGTGGAGTGGAACTGATCAAAGGCAGGGTGATGACTTGAGAGAGAGGTAGGTGTGGAGAGGAGCGACTCCTTCAGAGAATGCCAGCTGCTTTGAGCACGGAGAGTGAGTGTCTCGGTGCTTTTCTCTCCATATATGGTAAAATGATACACAGGGGTTTTTCACTAGGCTGTGAGGGCAGACGCCTTGTTCCACACACACAGACAGTGGGAAAGGACTCCAGAGTGCACAGACGCAAGGATTCCCTGGCTAACCGCACACCCCCTTCTCTTCCAGCAGAGCACCCGGTTACCCATTCATAAATGGATGTGATTCTCCATCCCAGCTCCAGAGGCTGCTACTAATTATCTGCTTGTAAGTACACCTCCCTTTTCTTTTTGTCCCAAAGAATCTTTGAACCAATCAATGAACCTTGAGATGTTTTTTGCTGTAATTAACAAAGCCTGTGCTGTGAGGTTGGATGGGACAGAAAAGCGTATGTAAGATATCCAAATAGGGAATGATTGCCCCTTTTTAAAAACTCCAGACAGGGGCTGGTGATAGGGCAGGAGTTACGTGTTTCTTTTTTATGTTGGGAGAAATTGTTCTTTTCTGCTTGTGACGAGTTAGCCAGGGGATATCCCCAGCATGTCATTGTGCATTAGAACCTTTTTTTCCTGGCAGATGCTATGCAGAATAAACCCCAGAGAAGATCAGAAACGGGTGACATGTTGGTTTATTTGTCTTCCTGGAAATATATCCTGTTCCCTACAGGAACAAAGAACCCTATTAGATTTTCCAGTTCTGCAGAAGTGCAGAAAACAAAGGGTGTCTTGCCTGATCTCTTCATCTCTGTATTACATATCATAAAAAATATAGCATTCACAATTTATCATATAAACATGGAGCAAAGTTTCTTTTTCCATTGACCTTTGACAGCTATATTCTTTGTTCTGTAGTACATATCAATACCGGATATATGTTAAGAGTCAGCACCCATTTTCATGTTTTGTGACTTATTTACACATTTACTTCATTGTTAATCTAGAATGCTTTATGTCTCTTTCCAGCATGATTATTCCCACTGCATTTTCCTTTTTATTCAGAATATCTTTCGATTACTGCACATGACATTCAAAATCATCTCTGAACGCTTTTAAAAGAAATTATTTGGTTTATCATTCATTACATTTCTTTATTATCCTGCTTCCCCCTGAAGCAAGATAAATTTTGTGCAGAGCTTGAAGGTTTGAAATTCAATCTATCAAAAGCTCCATTTAGATCTGGTTCAAAATTTAATCAGTGCATTTACTGCCATTGATTTCAATTATATATTGTCACAATTTACTTCTGCTAGATCATATTATGGGAATAGAAAGAAACTTCTGTAGTACTTTCCTCATCTGTCTAGCACATGGGTGTCAAACTCGATCGTGTCACATGACGTATTGTGATATTCTTTGCCTTTGCGGAGCTGGGTAGGCGTGGCCTATGTGTGATGCATCCAGCCCACAGGTCGCCAGTTTGACAGGCATGGATTCTAGCATTTACAAGAAGATTTATTTGAATACAAAATTATAATAATATCAATAAATATTTTATAAAGAGATATGCTCTCAAAAATGGCCTTAATATAGTTCGACTATGTCTTCTGAACTAAACTAACCTGGATACTTTCAGGTAGAAAGACTGGACTCTCGCCTATAGTTTGAAACTCAACACTGAACTTAGAAAAGAAAAAATGTAGCAGTGTGTCACCCGCAGCCTTAGAAAAATCTGTGCCCCACAGCCCACGCCAAGCTCTTGTTGCTGATCGAAACTAGGACTTTCAATTTATTGCATGAGAAGGAAAACTGCACATTCTAAACATTCCCCAGGTTAAATAACCCAGTATGAGCTGGCTGCATTCTACTAGATTGAATAAATCACCACAGACTTATAAAACAACCCACACGCTCCAAAGAAAGTAGGGTGGGGAGTTCTTAAAAAGAGCTCTCTCTTTTCCTGTTGTGTAGAGCTGACAAATCTTTAATATATTTAGTCTTCTTTTTTTTTTTTTTTTAATGTATATTTTATTATGTTTTCATTCTATACAATCACATATTCACTGTGCTTGATCAGGGCATATAACATTGAATAATAAACACGACCCTCACTTATATAGAAAATGCCCTCTACAATACAAACCCAGTATACCACCTTGGCCTGCCATACACCCTCTTTCAACCCCCTCCAACTTTCATTCTTCCTTCCCACACGCCCCTCTACGCCCCCCTCCCCTCCCCTTCGTTCTAACCCT